AGACAGGGGTCTTATTTTCGGGAAAACACGGTACCTGTAATACCAAGAAACACAAATGTGTAATTTTTGTTAGATAAATGATTAAACTAACAGTCAAAATATTTAGATATTTGAACATAAAAAAGTTGCTGTGGATTTTACTCCTCTAATGCTTGCTGACTATAGGGGATAGTGCTTTTCTCCATTTCAAAGCCATTGAGCCAGTGCTGTCTGAAGACATTTCCACAGTCATATGGCCAGCATGTTGTCATGGAGCATTGTTACCTTCCCAGCTGGGGCGAGGATGGGACCTCACCACATTGTGTGGCACTCGAGTCTCAAACCTGGCTTGCCGACTTTCCAACCAACAAGTTCAGTATCTTAACTGCTGAGTCACTGTGCCACCCTCTATTTGAACATGGGACAATGTTTATCTAGAACCAAGTATGCCACTTTCATGAGAATGCCTAATCTCAACTATTAATGTACTTCATAACAACTTAAGAGGACAAATTTAGAGAACGTGGCATAAAGATAGTCCTCAAGTTATGATGGCAATTGGGCAAGTAGGCAGTTACCAGGACAATGCTAGCAGACCCCATTGCTGTCATAACCCCAGGGTTGTGTGGATCATTAAACAGGAAAAGGTGGTAATCTCATCTAAAGAGCATATAGGGATGAGGGCTGCCAGTGGCAGGCACTAGAAAAGATGAGTAGGCTAGTAAAGGCAATGGATGAGTGCTAGGAAATATAGGTGGCAGCAGGGTGCCTCAAATATAAAGATCCCCGAGATCTCATATTTTATAATAGGGTTTTTCAGAAGGGAGTTGTAATGATTTATGGAAATGACTTGCAAGCTACCCTATTGACCTTGAGAGAGAAGGTTGTAGTGATCATATTACATGGCTTGCTGTCACATTGTAATCTCAAACTGGGTGCCCAAGGACAAGCATCACAATCAGGTGACCTCAAAGACACTGTGACACTGCTATTTTGCAGGTTAATTGCAAGTCCCCTTCATTCAAAGCAATCACCAAATGAATGGTTATAAATCAATGACTACCTGTATTTGATTTGCACAAAGCTTCTGAAATGGTTCCATATACAGGTAATCCTAGAATTACGACAGTTCACTTAGTGACAGTTTGAAGTTATGCAATAACAGCCCCCCTTCCAAACATCTGCAAGCCAATCGGACGGTGGGAGCAAAAAAATCTCCTTATTCAAGACAACTTCAAGAGAGGCAGCAATTGCAGCATAAAGAAGAAGGGGTCCTGTGGCATCTTAAATAACATCAAGTTACAGCATAAACTTTCATGGATTACTATACAGTCTGTCCTTCAGGTGAATGTTTATATTTAACATACTAGAGCTGAATTCCTCTGGAGTTAATAGTAAATAGTGAGATAACCATTCATTATGGTTATCTGCTGAAGCTCAAGCCTCAATATCTTTGTTGACCTTATGAATCAGAAACAGAGATAATGCCACAGAACAAAAAATGTTTAACAGGTATTTTAAAATTACATGAGAATTAATAGAAACCAAGTTGAAAGAAACTAGTTTATTTAAAGTTAGGGCATGTAGTAGTGCTATCAGAATGAGAAGGCTGTGGACAAGTCATGTAAAATCAGGAGTATCACCACTGCCTCTCTTCCCCACACTACTCTATAGGTAGTCCTCGACTTACAATCATTCATTTAGTGACTGCTCAAAGTTACACCGGCACTGAAAAAAGTGACCTACAAATGATCCTTGGCCTTAAACTTGGTAGCATCCCCAAAGTAACATTAAAATTTAGGTGCTTGAGCAACTGGCATGTATTTATGATAGTTGCAGGGTCTTGGGGTCATGTGATCACCATTTGTGACTTTCCCAGTTAGCTTCTGGCAAGTACAGTCAATAGGAGAAGCTAGATTCACTTAACAACTGCAGTGATTTATTTAACAACCTTGGCAAAAAAAAGAGTCATAAAATCAACCATGACTCACTTAACTGCTTTATTTAACAATGGAAATTCTGGTTCCAATTTTGCTTGTAAGTCCAGGATTCCCTCTATAGATAGTCCTCAACTTACAACCACAACTGAACCCCAAATTTCCCTTGCTAATTGAAACATTTGTTAAGTTGAGTTTTGCCCTATTTTATGACCTTTCTTACCACAGTTAAGTGAATCACTGCAGTTGTTAAGTGAATCTTGCTTCCCCATTGGCTTTGCTTGTCAGAAGGTTGTAAAAGGGGATCATATGCAACTGTCACTACAACTGGGTCACTGCAACTGTCATAAATATGAGCCATAAATATGAGCCATTCTGATTTCATGACCATGAGGATTCTGTAGTATGAAAAATGATCATAAGTCACTTTTTTCAGTGCCACTGTAACTTCAAACAGTCAGTAAACAAACTTGTAGGTCAAGGACTACCTGTAGTTCTTTCCTCCTACTTAAAGAAATTTTTAAAATACCTGCTGTTTCTTTCCTATGTGCTGCTTCCTAGCAGGCATGTACATTAATTTGGTTGTAAACAGAAAGAAAAACAATCCACTATTTAGATATACATATCACTACAGACCCTTACATAAGGAATAACCTGACTCATCATTCTGTACCTGACAGTTTCCTGAACTTTTAAGTGTTTGCAGATTGCTTAGTAAAAAGTCTGCTACAGAAAAGGAACCCATTTGTTTCCTTCCTGCATAACAATTAGGAAGCAGGGAAATGGAAAACATAGGACTTGCTTTGGAATACTTCTTCCTAATATTTTAGGGCAAATCCATTTAAAATCAGAGTGCAGATTCTGTGAAACACTTTTGTTTAATAGCATCAAGATGAAACCAATTATAAAATCTTAAAACCCTTACTAATAATACTAATGGCATAAAGAAGAAAATTTGACTGTTCCTGTACCTAATTAAGTTTTATGAAAAAAGGACCTTGATCTTCCCACTAGCTGTGACATCATGGAACAGAACTGATAACAAATTTTATTAGGCCAGGAAGACAATGGGATCTGGTCTTGGATCCTCTTCCTCAAATCTATCTCCACCAAATTTATTTATGGACCAAGTTCATTAAAGGGTATATTGATGTACTATATGTCTCCATCAATTTACTAATTGATCCGTTAATAAAATATGTATCTTTTCTTCATTGTATTATCAGAAAAACAAAACTTCAGCTATAACAAATTTAAAAAATCATCTACCAACCATTTGTAATATGAAGATGTAACAGACAATTGTTGCACCCAGGTATAATTCCTCCACAATCAGAATAATTTTGCCAATGCTATTCCACTTGAAAAAAATCAATACTATTCAACTCTGTATATTATACATATAAGAGAATACTTCTTTATTTTACTTTATTTAGTAAATATTTTAAAAAGGAAAGATTTTAGATATCAATTAAGTTTTGTTTCTCAATACACAAATCTCATGATTTTTATTTCAGTTTTCTATTTCACCTTCCAAGAAATTGGTGGAGTTTGTAATATTAACAATCATAAAGGTGTTATTTGCAGAAAAAAATACACATAACATTTTCAATCCAACTTGTCACCAAATCGTCCATCTCTTATGATCTGCCAAAATGGCAATATTTCAGCATTTTAAAGCAATTATTATTCAAAAATTATAAAATTAAATGTAGAAAATTAAATTAGAATAGTAAACGATTAGCACTTAGATGATTTTCTGTACTGATTTAAAATCTAGATGAAACAATATTTATTGAAAGTACTAGAATATGTTTTCTATCAATGCATTATTCAAGCAGATACAGCTAAAATGGGAATGAAACAGTATTTTTTACCAGTGGTTATATGAGCAATCTCACATTTTTGTAATCTGTCAACTTGTCAGTTTTATATTCCAGGATCTTTTTTTTTTTTTATTTGATTTATATGCCGCCCTTCTCCGGAGACTCAGGGAGGCTTACAATGCACTAAGCAATAAGCAATAAGCAGAATTCACTTTAGGCAAAGTGTATGTATTAGCCATGTGGAATATCCATACTATCTTCTCCCCAGTTAATTTATTGAGCAAACTAGGTAGATGTATCTCCCCGCAGATGAATAGTTTTTAATTAACCAAAATACCAAAAGCACCAAATGATTTAATCATTGATTATTCAATGACTGAATAATCATCTAAGTGGTAACGGTTGGTACTTCAAACTTCTTTTCCTTTAACTTTCCTTCCAAACACATTACTACAGTATTTCATTATTCTGATTTATCTTCATGCTGCTGTTGTGCAGATTCCTCATTTTTGTCTAATTTTTTAAAAAGCCAATAGGAAAATCTATACTATAGCCTTTAAACCTTCAGTATATACTCCTAAACAGCCACGTATTTACCTGACCAATTTATTCATTTTTGGCATACTGTGTCCATTGCAGGAAAATTCACAAATGGCAGCCACTAACTTTTTGGATTTTCAAAGGCCTTAATACCACATTAAAAATTAAAGTTAAGCCTGTACCAGGCAATGTCAGAAAGCAGGTCTCCAGCAGTTAGATGAACAATAGCCAACTTAACAACCAGAAGACATCAAACAACAGGCTTCAGAAACACACCATGAAGCAGTGGGGAAAAAAATACAATAGGCAGGAGAAAGAGTTTTTAGTGAAATTTTTTGTGGAAGTACCAACTTTGACATCTTAAAAGCAATCAGAAATCTGAGGTGCTGCGAATTTCCACAGCATCAGCTGAAGAAGGAACTTCAGAGAGAGAGAAAATATACTTTGAAAAAGTCCTATGAAGACGAATGGGAAAAGAGAGAGATTATATGCTGGGTTCCATAAACTTTAGGATGAGCATCAATCTAAAAAAAAAGTATTTGTAAAAGTGGAAGAAAGAGAAATAAATGATCATCGGCGCCACATCTTAGCAAATCCGCTGGGTTCGAGAAACCGGAGGCAGAACGGGGAGTGGAGAGTTAATCTGAATTCTTTCCCTTAACAGTGAAGACCGAGGGTTCTTTTCACCACCGTGCAAACTACCTTCTCTCCTTAGTACCTGCTTTGCCAACCTTGGATGAGGTTGGTGTATTTGCTCAAGGTCCCCTCCAGAACTGCCTCCGTTCTCCTACCAGCCGCCAGTCCCCCCTGGGCACCGCCGCCGCAGCCTCCTCCTGGACTGGCCGCAGCTGAACTGGGGCTGCTGCTGCTTCCTCCATCCGGCCTCGCAGCCGGCGCTACGGCCACAGCTCCTGCTTGCCGGCCCGAGAGACCCCGACTGGTAGAAGTGGAAGGCGAGGAGCCGCCCGACGTAGGGCGACTGCTACTCCGGCTGCTACTGTTACTGCCTCCGCCGCTACTATTGGCTGTAGCCACGGCCGCTGACACGTTGTCCCCGGGGCTTTGCGCCGCTGTAGCTGCCTTCTCCATGGAGTTCGCGGGAAGGCTCTGAGGTAGCCCCGGCCCTCGTTTAGATTGTAGCTGCTGCCGGTAGGTTGGGAAATATCCGAGTCATTCGCTATGAAAAAGGGAGAGGAAGGACTGAACTATCCCCGCGGGCGCCACCCACTCAAGGGCTTTTTGCGGCGACAAAGCGGAGGCGGCGCCGGCGCTTTGTGTCCAGTGGCGTGGAAAAATCCGCTCCGCCCGCGATTCTCCCTCGAGGCCGCCCTCTTACTCCAGCCCTAGTTGTGAATCTCTGCTTGAGGCCCGGCAGGAAGGCCGACCGCGAGCGATTCTCAGCGCTACGAAATTTGGGAGGAGACAAGATATATTCGCGCCTCGCTCTAACTGCCAGCGCCGGCTGCCTCTGCTCCGACGCATACGCTTTTTGGAAGACTAGCCCAAGGAGCGTTCAGCCGGAATAACTTTTGCATCAGAGTTCCGGAGTTGAAGGCGTGTGGACCAGTTACCGCTGTGAATGTCAGGCTGGTTGATTTTATAATTTATTTTAAGACGAAGGCTGTAAGCCATGTTGAATAGGCAATTCCGCTCAATGCGAATTAGACTGCCCTTGAATGGCATTTGGCAGAAGAGGCCCCGGCGGAAACCTGTCTGACCAGTGTATCCCACCTTCTGCCCCATCGTGGGAGAAGAGCTATCAATGGTAGCAAATATATAATTGTATATGCAGATTTTTAAAGGGTGGGCCTTGTAATAGGAACTAATTTTTTGATTATTTAGGCCACATGATATAATCCATAATTTTTCAAGATTAAGCCCCAAGAAAAACTGTTCTACTTATTCAGTAGAGCAGGCTTTTCAAATCTGGGTCCATCTGAACTTCTGATTTGTAAATTGCATTGTTGTGGAAAAAGGAATTCAAGAAACATCCCTTTTAGGGCAGACAGAATCAGTTTATTTATTTATTGCAATAAAGGATCAAACCTTAGTATCGCTACCAAAGAGGTTTGAACGAAGTATGATTTTCAGCTCAAAGCATTTATACAGTTTCAAACAAAGAATTCTGTGAAGTCAGCAATTCATATGGTCATATACATTTGTCATTTTTAATTGACATTTCCTAATTACTGAGTTTGTTACTATCTTTGCAAAACAGTTATAATTCTTCTAAGAAATTACTGAAGCATATGGTCATATCCTCTCTCCGACCTTAAAATGTAAATCACCTAGACTGTCCTTATCTGTGACAACTGAGAGGCCTTGAAGTAGAAATCCTACTTGAAAGGAATGTGCCTGCCTACATGCTGGATACAATTACAAGCATTTTCTCTTTTACAATATTAAGAACAAAGAGGGCCCTTCAGTGATCATCTAGTTGGACCCACTTTTACTTTATTTATTACTTTATTTGTTACATTCCACATTAGCATCATGGTTTGCTGCTTGAAATGATAAACTTTGTGATACTATGGGGGACCTTATTGTTCCATTTCAAGCTAAAACTTTAATCCAATCTTGATTTTTAAAAAGTAAAAAGTCCACTAGAAAGAATGGAATAGGAACATGTTTCTATTAAAGGCTTTCCTTATCTGAAATTTTATATAATTTCTGATATTTACTGAACCAATTTTCTAACTTCACATAAACCATAAAATGAACACTAAACTGAGTTAGACTCCTAAAAACACTGATCCATCCATGAAGCAAGTTTAAAAATTAATCAAGCTTATTGTATGAATACAGCCAACAATATGGCTAATATTGGGGAACATCATTTATGGTAATAGAACAGTACAATACCCAAAACTTTAGTTTCACATTTGATGCTTTTATACCACAGCTGCTATCTGCCTACCAACTCAGGATCATATCAGACATCTGTTTGGTTCAAAATAATTCGATAATTAAATTAGATGCACAGGAAACAAATGTAAAACTTTCCTTTCCCTGATGTATTTATGCGTTCGCTGCTCACAGGAGCATCAATACTGAGATGGCAAAATAAACAGAAGTGAGACAATGTTGGAGGTGACGCTTTCTTTCCAAGCTCATAATACAATATGTAAATAGGGGAAATCCATTCCTACTTTTTATACAAATTGATTTATGTACTTTACATAACAGGTTTAATTCTAATTAAATCCATGGGACAAATTATCAGTTGAATTATCTGAAGATTGTGACTGATTTGGAGTTACTTTGGGTGCAAAGAAGTCAAATTATTAAAGTAATTTTGATAGGCAAATAAATTTTTCCCTTATCAAAATAATTTGGAACATAGTATAAAGTGATACCCTATACTTCAGTAAAGTATCTTTTGAAAATTACTATTCATTTACAACAGATTTAAAATTTTGAAGTGTTCTAAAACAACAATAGAGAAAAGAATGAAGAACAGAGCTGATATATTTAAAATTGCTTAGAATCCTAAACAAATGTTCTAAAGGCTAATCTGAAACACAAACAAAGATGATCTCAGTCTAAGGTACTGTTACAGAGAAAGCTTACCTGTACTTCAACCAACCTAATTGCCATTAGCCTAAAAGCCATAAGAGAAAGAATTCCAGCATTTATGGCAATAAAACACATTTAATTTAAATGACATATTTTAACAATTGTTTAAAAGCATGGCCAAATCACACACAGCATTTCTACACTGGTAGAAATGGAGCTGGAAAGAAGCTATCTGGTCATTTTGCCCTTTAAGATCTAGCCCAGGCACCCATTTACTGAAGTTATCTTGCTAGACTGTCCCTCATGTGCAGATTGAAATTGTTACCTCAGACACTTGTTTTGCACTATTTGTTGATCAGTGACATTGGAAAATGAAGTAACCCACAGCAGTGAAACAACCCTTAGGTTGCTGAGCATTTAGGTTCAGAGGCAGAAGTTGAGAGATTGCTAGAATCTTGGGGGGGTAGGGTGGGGATATAATTGGTTTCTTGGTGGCCCTACGGTCTGGTTGCCACTACTAAATGTCAGGTTGGTATTTAATAAAATTCTTATCCATTACATGATTATGAATGAGGCAGCCATTTTAGCATGTATGACCAAAGCCTAGGTGTGTTCAGAGATATGAATATAAGACCCTGTTGTTGAAATGGGCTCTAAGGAGCAAGTAAGTTTTGTGCTGCTGTACTTTGTCATTAAATTAGCGGTTGAGTCTCCACACTGATAACTCTTGGGAATCTTTAAATTGTACATGGGTAGCATAGAATCTTGGAGTAGTTCATTCGTTCATAGCCCCGTAGTAATCATATGCCTGATCATTAAGAACCTGACACACACCAGGATTGCACACTAGATCTGGTTTTTGTTTCAGGGCAATTGCAGCATGATCTGGTAGTAGAGGATATTACCATCAGTTCTTTGCCATGGTGTAAACTCTCTCATCACTTTTGGACTTAGTGGTGGTGCCTCATTCTGCAGGGAGGTAGATTAGTTCTACCAATCTATCTTAGATTGGTTCACTTTAGGCTACTGAGATACCTTGGAGTTTCCCTAAGGATCTACTGGGCAGTTGAACCAAGATATTAGTTGTGACCTGGAATGGGCATATAAAGAGGACCTTAGATTGAATTGTTTCTGTATGGCTTTCACTTTGTGACAATCCTGGTTCTCTGATGGATTCCAAAAGATGAAGCACCAGAAGAATAAGTAGAATGCCATTGGAGAAAGATGAAAAGTGACCTCTCTAATCATAAATAAGAGCCTCAATTAGAATAAAAGTGAAGGACAGAAGCAGCAAAACATATTTTACACTCTTCTCATAGAAAAATAGCCATCCAACAGCCTTGTTTAAGATAACTCATTTCAGTTTGGAAAGGGGTAACTCACAGATCATCTGATGAGCCACTCTTATCTAGTTATCTGACAAAGTTAGGTGGATTTGCTTGGAGTTGAACTGGGAAAGTCATTGCATAGTTCCATGGAATAGAATTGAACCTATGACTTCTAGGAAGATTGACAAAATCCTAAAAATTCTGAAACCAGAATTTTCCAATAAATCCAATGTTTATTGGATTTATTAGATTCATCTCCTTTTGGCCCATGAAGGCCAGATAGGAAATTACATTTGGTGGGATCAGTGCAATAGTATCAGCTTTCCTAAACAGGGAACGGTTGCTTCTCTTAAAGCCATAATTGAAGCCATTAGTCCTACACAACTTTAAACCAGTCTCTAACCTTCCCTTTTTGTGAGAAAGGTTGTTGAAAAGGTAGTCAGGAAAATTTGGAGGAAAAAAGCTTTCAGTTAGATTTCTGGGAGAAGAAGGCATCAATGACACTGATGATATTTACTGATGATTTCTACTAAGCCAGCATAGGTGGTGCAACCCTCCAGACTCCCCTTGATCTCTCAGTAGCTTTTAATGCTATAAATCATGGTATTTTTCTGAACCACTGTAGAAGGGGAACCTTCAAAAGTCACCACAAGCTATTCTTTCCATGTGCTGTTTTGCCTATTGAGACTTTAACAGAACAAAAGGGGTAAAGGACCAAACCTAGAGCTCTAACTGCAAAAGGAAGACACTTTTAGCACCTGAGTTTTGGTGGGTGTGTTGGAAAAAGATCTTTGTTGTGTAGAAGAAGAGAAGAAGTTGAAGAGGATAATGTAGAACAGATATCAGGGTAAAATGCAGCACAGCAAGCAACTGAAAGCAAAGGAGGATCAGGCACAGATTTTAGCAAATCAACAACAGAGGAGCTGAAAGAGGAAGTACAGCCTGGAAGCCACTCTACTCCAGCAGAAGATATTAATAGCCTAGGGCAGTGATGGCTAATCTCTTTGCCGTCACGTGCCAAAAGTGGGGGGAGTGCAGGGAGGTCGCCCACGTGCGTGCCCACACCCATAATTCAATGTGCTTCGCACTTGCGCGCAGCCCCCCCCCGCTTTTAACACGTGATGGCCCGGTGGGCCCGGTAGGCCCGTTTTTCACCCTCCCCAGGCTCCAGAGGCTTTCTAGGAACCTGTGGAGGGTGAAAACGGCCTTCCCCCACCCCCGGAGGCCCTCCAGAGGCCGGAGACAGCCCATTTCCCAATTTCTGGTGGGACCAGAAGGCCCAAAAATCAGCTGGCTGGCACACACATGCGCTGGAGCTGAGCTACAGCAATGCTCGCGTGCCCAATGATATGGCTCCGTGTGCCACCTGTAGCACCTGTGCCATAGGTTTGCCATCACAGGCCTAGGGCCTGTCAGCAGCTCACCTTCTCCTGCCTCTGTCTTCCAAATACAGGCTATTATTTTTATTTTATTTTTTGCAAAATTGGTGCTTCAGAAGCAGTTCAAAATGACAGCCAGTAGTGCTGAAGCTGACACCAGCCAGCAACACAAGCCAACCAACTCCAGTGGTAGTTAAATAGCTCAGAGAAGCATTTCTGAATGTCTAAGGAGAAAATAAACATACATAGGGCATTTTGGGGATTTAGATATATGTTACATGTAGCAATAAACATACAGTATATTACTATATAGTATGTAATATGGGTTTGACTTAAATTAGAAGTTAAAAAGTCAGTGTCATAAAATTTGTTAAGCCCTTTTGGTATAATTAAAAAAAAACTTTCTTGAAATACAAGGAACACAGTAGTTTTATAGGTTGTCTGTATCATTTCACAACTACCTACCTTGATTATAGGGCGTACTGTGTTTGTCAGGGAAATAGTGGGCTCTGATGAGCTCTGCGAAAACCCGGATTGACAAGCCGCTGCCAAGGGGTTTTCAGACCGGAACCATCTTGTAGGGACGGGGAAGAAGGAGAGGCACTTCGGAAGACCAAGAGGAGCAGGCAAGTTCCTCGAAGGTCAGAGGAAACTCTCTCCTACTCGGCAGCAGGAGCGGCGGCCATTGCAGCCGCCAAGAAGCTGGGGCAACCGGACTAAGCATTGAGCAGGAGTGGTAACTGGAACAGAGTTTTGAAGCCGGGTGAGTGACAGCCAACTCATAAGCAAAAAAAAAAAAAGGAAAAGATTTTTAAATTTGAAAGAACCCCAGCAGTGACTAATGGGCATGGGGGAAAGGAAAGAGGATGATTGAAGCGGAAATTTAAATTGACAAAAACCCCAAAAGAAAATTGACTTTTAAATAAAAATATTTGGAGAACTTTAAAAACTAAAAGAAATATAACCCCATAATGGATAAAGGATTGGAAAGAAAGTAAGCAAATCCTTTTTGAATGTTAGAGAAAAACTAAAGAGAACTTGGAAATTAAGCCCTGTAATAGAAGCTTTGTACCAAAAAAAAAAGGGGGGGGGAAAGACTGTAATTTGGATTGGACTCTAAAACTGATTTGGCATATTTAAAGGTAAAAAGAAGAAAAGAAAAGAAAAGTAATAAAGACTGTTAATGTGGATTGAAACAAAATGGATATTTTTTCAGGCTGCTGATTGGAATTGTGGATTCTAGAGAGACACCTTCAGGAGAAATAAGACCATTACAACACTGAACTTTTGCTTTGGAAAAAATTTTGAACTTTTGATAACAGTCATGAGAACTTCTAAGGAGGATTTGTTTGTCTGCAAGCGGCTTGACTTTGCTTAAAATAAAAAGAGGAATACAACAAAACTTTTAAATGGAACAATATCAATTTGGAAAGAATAAAATGGCATAGGAGATTAGGGAAATGATGAAAATGATGTATTTGTCACTGAAAATGGAAATAAGGGAAATAATTATAATGTTACATGAAGAACCGAAATCTGATGATCCAAAAATTGTGTTAGAGTATAATCAAGTGACAAGGAAACAACAATTGAGAAGCAAGACATAGAGACTGAAAATAAAGAAGAAGACAAAGACAGCAAGATTGACTATGGGAATTTAAATGAGTTTTGGATAGTAACAATAAAAATGAGAATTTTAAAGAATACATTGGGATTAATAATGGAAAAAACAGAAAGGTTGGAAAGAGACAAAGAGGGGAAAAAGGGTGGAGAATGAATATTTAAAAATTAAATAATTACATTGGGATTAACAGTGGAAAGACAAGAAAGAGGGAAAAGGGATGGAAAACAACAGGAAGTACAGGGCAAAATAGAAGAGTCCATGACTTTGAGATACAAAATGATTACACTGGGATTAACTGGAAAAATAAGAAAAAGAGAAAAGAGATGGGAAATAATGGGAAATACAGGGCAAAATAGGAGAGTTCAGGATTTTAAAGCACAAAAGAAAAAAAGGGGAAAGAAAAAGAAAAAAATAAAAACAGAAAGGGAGAAATGGAGAAAGAAATGAAAGAGGAATATGTTATATATACTTAGAATTGAAATATGAATTGATGTAAGATTTATATATGTAATGAGTATTAAGAAAAAGTTGAGAATGTGAAAACTGGATGTATGGAAATTTAAAAAGTTGAAATGATATTATATTATGAATTAATTAGATGGTGAAAGTAGAAATGATTAAGTTGTTTGAAAAGGTATAAATACATATGTTTGATAAAATAATTGAAAATTAGAGAAGATTCAAGGAAATATATGGTGAAAAATTTGGTTTATTATATAAAGAGAAAAGATGGCTATGTAACTGACTTTTATTAAGATGTTGGATTGTATTATTTAGAACAAGATTTAAGGAAATGTATGGTATAAAACAATTGGGTTTATTATCCTTATAAAAAATGAATGATTGTAACACCACATAATTGATTTGTATTAAGATGTTGGATATTGAAATAGCTGACAATGGAAAACATTAATGATTATATTAAGGGAATATAAGGAAATACTAGGAATTATATTATGTGAGATTTTAAATTTGAGGGGTTTAATATAGAGATGAAGGGAAAAACTGAATTTGGCTAAAATTAAAGGTTAGGATGAAGGGAAATATTGGTTTTTTAAAAAATAGAATAAATATTATGGCAAAAAGGGAATATATAAGTTGTAGATTTATGACAAATTAAATTTATCATTTAGTTGAAATGACTAAAAACTGCTTAAATTTGTGAACCGACCAATACTCTGTTCAGAAAAAAATACATTGTATGTTTGTTTGTGTGTTTGTGTAAAAAATTTAAAAAAAAACTTTTTTTTTTTTAAAAAGGGCATACTGTGTTTTAAATGTTCCTCATATCTATGTGGGTAGCTCCAATCAGTGTGGGCAGGAGGGGAAAGTTCAAGGCTAACCCCAACACCCCAATGTATGAAGTATTCCAAAGTTTGACATTATTTCTGGGTATCTATCAACTCAAAGCATGCTGATAATTCCAACCTGTATATTTTGAACTGGGCTGACCAAGTGATGCTATCAAGATCTTGTCCCAGAGTCTGGAGACTGAGGGTCTGGATAAGGAGAAAAAGACTCAGATTCAACACTTGTAAGATGGATTGGCTATCAGTGTTTGAGTCACCCAATTCCAGAGATTTTCAATTTTAGGGCTGAATGCACTTCTCCATTTAGGATTGATGTGAATTTGGGAGGTTTTATTTATTTATTTATAAAATTTATTGGGTAACTCTGGATGGCTCATAGTCATAAAGATTGTATACATATATAGTTAAATCATAAATAATTAAAATCAAACATTAAACCTAAGGACACATGGGTAGGGGAGAGGTGGGATCTGTTGTTACTCAACCAACCATATCCACTGTGCTGTTCCCCTAGGCTTGCAGCTCTTACTTGAAGAGTAAGGGGCAGTGGTAGCCAGTAAAATCTGGCCCATCTTGGGTGCCATTGTTCCTGTTCCTGGACAAATAACTCATGCCCCGGTCATATTGTATGTAAACTGTTGCAACATGCTTTACATAGGACTGCTCTTGAAGACTAACCCAGAAGATAGTAGTATGAACAGTAATGAGCCTGCATGGGATTCAAATGCAATATTGCTGCTTCATGACCTCTATTGGTTGCCAGGGTGCTCAAATACTTTACTGTTTGTAAAGCCCTTCATAACATAGACCTAGCTCCCTGAGAGATTGTCTGTCTCCAGCAGTGTCTGCACATTCCATGCAATTGAGCAGAGTTGGGATGCTCTTAAACAATGTCATATAATGGGATCTAGAAAGTGATCCTTTTGTGTCATGGTACCTATCCTCTGGAATAGCATCCCCTCAGAGATCCTTGGCTCCTTGCTGGTTTCATGCAAAAGGTATTTTAAAATATGGTTTTACCACAGGCCTTGGCAAACTTCTTACAGGATTGTATATGTTGGTTAGGATCCTTTTTTTTCCTTCTGAACAAACACATTTTTTTTTCTTTTTATTGTTCTGTGCTGCTTTTTTAAATATGGTGTGACAGCAATAGAAGGCAGCTTTACATACATTTGATAAACAACTGTTAACAAATAAGTACCTTTATTAGCATGGGTAGATATGAACAAGCACTGTAATGATGTTGCTGGCAGGTTGATTCAAAACATTAGTATTTCTGCTTGTGATACATTTTTCTTAATGCTATATTGCACTTAATGAATTAATTTATAAATGTATTAATTGAAGGAGTGAAAGAAGCTTGAGCCCATTGGATCAAATAAGGATTATTAGTAGGCCTGTGCAGATCAGCCCTAATTTTATTTTGATCAAAGATCTGAAATTCAAAGAAAGCATGATGCCAGTTTGCAGTTCAAAGAATAAGTCAATTTGATTTGATCTGAGATTCAATTTATTTTTTTAAAAAAGTCTAGAGGCAATCAAGGAAGAATATTAATACAATGCAGATACAAATTGCTTCAGTTTTTAATAGAAGGGATTAAGTTTGCAGCAATAATAGAATCTTTTGAGTTTATTAATACAATTAATACTACCAAGTTTCAGAGGCAATTCTTCAAGGATTTTATTGCAATAAAATTGCAATAAAAATATTTCCTTTGCATCTCTTCTGAGACAGAGATAGAAGGGATTAGGAAAGAATCACACAGCAACCTTTAATTTGTCTAGCAAAGAGCCTCTTTCCTGCTATTAAAGTACTTTCCATACTTGGATTGGCAAATATATTGCTGCTTGTAGTGCCAGTGATTATCCTGTCTAGATTGCCTCTGTTTTGGCTCAGTGCTGAATGTATAGTCTTGATTATGGAGTCTGTGATGGGCAAAATGATTGGTTACGTTTTCCATCTTTGCTCTCCTACATGACCAGCAATTTGGAAAAGTGTCCACCAATTATGACAATGCAACAAGCATGGAGTTGCAGGACCTCATTGATCATCTATTAGCTCCTACAACACATTCTATCATAACCAAAGCTAAATATTTTTTAAAAAATATTTTTGTTAGGATTGCGTTTTCTTTCATTTTCTTTATGTATATAGAGAACAGCCAGCCAGTTCATGATTCTTCTATGGTTTGTCCAGTAGATAATTTTAGGGAGGAGATATTAGTCATTCCATAGTTGGGCTTGCATTAGGATCATACCAGACTTGTCTTCTGTAGTTTTGACAGACAATTGACATAACAGTGCTTGTCCAACTCTTTAGGAAATGATAGCAAAGCAGTTGTAGATCAGGCTGGCAGAGGATTGAAGAAGAAGGCACAAGTGCTAGAAGGCCAATAACTGTTTCTTTAACCACTACTCAACCATTACTAGTAACTAGGCTTCATTTTCAGCACTAATGCAATTTTATTTATATTATTTTAAAGCTAAGGACAAGTTAAACCTGACTCATTCATAATCGGAGATAAGATGAAAGTAATATGATGAGGATATTGGAGAAAATTGCCAGGACATGTTTTTGCTGTGGTTAGGAGTTAGTGAAAATATAGTCTCCTGTAAACTGTGTGGAACAAATACATAGTTTATCTTACTCAATTAGAAGTTTTCAGAAATGGAGTATAAGAAACCATTTACTTTTCCAGTTGCTTTTTTTGGAAAACCTCTACTGACTTGTCCTTTTGGGGTAATTAGGCTTGCTGCTTCCAATTTTTGGATTTTCTGAGGCAGTAAGCTTGGTCCCTATTGGAAAGATACCTCCACCCATCCATTACTAGCAGGATGCAGTTATGTCAAGATTGTGGCTTGCTGTCAATGCGTGTATGTTGCTTAGTCAACAAAGGCAGCAGAATAGGCTGATGTATGAAATACAGTGCCACAAAAATAGGCAAATACAAGCGAGTGGCACAAAAAGCCTAGCATTTGGAGCCTTACTGATCCTTATTCTCAAAACCAAACACATAAGACAAATGCACTAAATGTTAATCTTTTATTCATTCATTCATTCATTGGGTCATAAGGTCCCAATTGTACAAAATTTATAAATAAGATTTGACTGAGGAGCATGTATCAGATTGGTTAGCTAAGCTGAATTCCCAGCTATATTAAGAGGATCAAAGGGAAAATGTAACATTCTGTTAGCAGAAAAAAAATCAAAATTAAGATTTGGAGCTCTGTTAAGGAAGCTGAGAAAGTGACTGAAAGAAACATGATAGGCATTTATTAATGACATGATAAACTTTATTGACCACTTAATCTGTGTCCCACAACCCACCGTAACACTCTGTTTCCCCTGTCAAGTATTCTCCAACTAGTGAGAAATGAAATTGTAATACCATTGTAACAACTTCAGAAGCAGAAAAATCTTGAATCTATAATGCTATTAAGTCTATTAAGTACTTCACAGCCATATTATTTAATTCTATCAAGAATAGATTGTTTTCATTATTATTTCATCAAGCAACTAGATGTGGAAAACACAATATTGTTTACCTGTTAGTGAAAGATGTGGGAAGAGAGGGCAATGTATTCGGATATAAGAGATTGTAAAGTTGGAAAATCAGCCTTAACTACCAAAGACTCTTAACTAGTAATAAAGACTTTAATCCTGCTGTTTACAATACAGATTTCTGTTCCAACTATACTCTTGTTTCTAGGAAGCTTCAGCAAATATTACTGTAGGAGTTTGCATACGTGCAGGAATTTTCCTAATCTCGAAGGCAAACCTCAGATAAGGAAGGTTACATGCATGTAAGCGCCAGGAAATGACATTAGAAAATAAGACTCTGGATCTGTAAATAAGAGGAGAGGAAGTGGGATGTATGTTAGACTTTAACTATAGCTAAATATTATAAGTGCTTAAGCAAAGCAGTAATGATTAACCTATGATTTAAGTTACCTGGAAGATTCTGTGAGCCAATGATATGCTGCCAAGTACACTGTAACTTGAAAGTAACAAACTATATAATGTCACTATGTAAGGCACTAAAGTTACCACATATTTCCTCAACCTCTCTGTGTGGTCATTTACAACGAGTGGCGCCCGAACAGGGACCCCTGCTTCATCCAGCAAGGATTTGGTGCACCGTCAACCCGTGTGGTATCTTCAACCTTTTAAAGGTTTCTGTAAGTAATGGGGTCTTCGCTTTCTGAGGAACAAAGGAAGCATGCTGAAGAATTAAGCTACTTACTTAAGAAAAATCACACTGATGTATCACAACGCAGTCTCTTATGGCTGGTCCAGGAGATTGTGAATCAGTGTTTATGGTATCCTGAAAAGGGGTCTTTAAGATTATCTGACTGGGAAAAAATTGGGAAAGTTTTACATACCAAGAGCTAAGGTAGAGATTTTGCATGTATGGCATTTATGTCACTATGCAGTGGAAAAATTTGGAAATACTGAACTGTCTCTTTTAACTTCTCCACCTCCATGTTACTCCAATGCTATTGTCTGTCCTCCTTTCTCACCAGACTATCTGACTCTGCCTCCTTCAGCTCCTACTGACACAGGTCAGATTACTAAACCTTCTGACTCTGCTGTTCAATCCTCTTTTCAAAAAATGGTAGAATCCTGCAAAAAGGATTCCTCCATGCCTGGGGCAGAACTTGCTGAATTATTGTCTGTATGTCCTGTACAATATCATCAGGGCCAGGGCCAATTGGCAGGACAGCAGATAGCAGAATGGGAAGGGTTACCTTATCAAATTTTGAGGGAACTAAAAAAGGCTGTTACAGAGTATGGCATCAGTGGTAATTTTACTAGAGGCTTGGTAGAAGGAATAAAAA